GAGGCCAGCGTCAGCCTCACAGGCCTTGGAAAATTCATGGTTTGGGTTCCCTCGCGTGTTCGCATCCATTGGGCTTCTGATCGGCGGCGAAGCGAGCGAGGCGAGCGCGCGGTTCCACCGAATTCGGGGCCCTTCCGGGCCTGCGCGGGGGGGCCGGAGCCCTCAGTTCATGCTGTCCGTGTGGACCGTTCTGCCTGAAGATCCGGACCTTGAAGCTGAAAATCCGGCACTGAATGTGAATGCTGATAGTCGGATGCTGGAAGGTGGACGTCACCCACATGAAGCGGAAGGTCGAGGTGCAGGCCGAAAGCTGGAAGTGGAAGATTTGGTATAGCTGGTGGTTGGCGCTGGGCGTCGCAAACTGTGAGTCAAAAGACTGTCCGGTGAGGTGGAGGCCGATAGGTGGAGGTCGAAAGTTGGAGGTGGAAGTTTGCCTGTCGTCAGCTGTCGGTGGATGGTGGGGATCGGGGGTTGGAAATGGAGATCGGTCCGGTGAGGTGGGTGGTCGATCTGTGGAGTTCGAAGGTTGGAGGTGGAAGGTTGGAAGCTGGAGGTCGGTCAGGCGGGGTGGGAGGTCGACAAGTGGAGGTCGAGAGCTGGAGGTGATGGTCTACAGCGTCCTGTACAAACTTGTCTTCTAACCTCTGCCCAGTGTGTCGCACGCCAGTGCAGACCACCTCTCGCATCCAGTATCATCGAGTGGTATCTCGTCCTGGTCGATCATACTCATCGCTGTCCACCGTGCTTTCGCTGGGCAGGCCTTCTGTCATGTAGTGGAGGCTTCCAAGCGGCGGCGCGTCGGGCCCATCGGTCGGCGGGTAAATTCGCCACCCGGCCAGCCCATCTCTATTCTGTTCGGAAGTAGTGCGAAGCCCAGTCGTCGACGCGCGCGCGTCTGGCATGGGCGTCGGTTGAGTGCGTCGCTCGTCGGATGAATTGTGCCCATGGCTCCAAATCCGTCGTTGCTGTCGGTGCTGTCGTTGTTGCTGTTGGCACTGCTGTCGTCGTCGATGTCGTTGCTTTTTGTGCTTCCGTTTTTGATCGGCGGCGAGCGAGGGGGAAGGCCTTCTCAGAAGGCGGCGGGACTTCTCAGAAACCCTCGCGCCTTCTGAGAGGTTTTCTGTGTCTGCGGGGACGGCTTAGAAAAATTCTCAGAAGGCTGGGGGACTTCCGAGCCTTCTGAGAAGGCCTTCCCCTTCTCACTTCCCCCCCTCGCTCGCCGTCGATCTGAAGCCCAAAGATAACTCCAAGATGGCCCAGGGGAGCCCCAGGAGAGGCCCGAGAGAGCCCCTAAGAGGGCCTCAGGAAGTGACGTGTCGGGCTCCAGCGGGGCAAAGCGAACTGACACTTGCCTTTTTCTTGGCCGGTGTCATTCTGGATGGCCATCCAAGAAGGCCCCAAGAGTGCCCCAAACGCCTTCGAATCATCCTAAGAGGACCCCGACATGGCTCCAGGAAGGATACACGAGGCTCCGTGAGCACAAGATCTGCGAATGCCTTCTGGCTGAATCGTCGTCGTCGTCACCGTCGCCTTCTTCAGCCCCCCCCCCCACCTCACCATTCTTCTCATCATCCTCCACCCACCTCATCCTACTCCTCCTTCTCCTCCACTTCCTACTCCTATTCCTCCCCCTCCTCCTCACTTGACACCTTTCGTTCGTTGATCGCTTGGCACCGAAAAGTTCACTTGACACCTACCGTTCGTTGCCTTCTTGGCGCCGACAAGTGCACTTGTCACAGACCGTTCGCTGGCTTCTTCCCTGCCTTGAACACTGTGTAACAACTTGCCCATGTCATCTAAATCAAAGTGTAACATCTCGTATCCCACCATGATCCGTCAGAAATTGCTAACTCCCCCATTCAAGGATGTTCGATGGACACCGGTAGGCGGAGTTGCGGCCACGCGCTCAAGGCAGCGCTTGAGCGTGCCAGCCCACCCGCAGTTGAATTCACGTACATACTGGGAGATAATGCCAACCCATCCTGGGAAGGATGGTGTGGCACCGAACTCCGTGCCGTTGTCGTTGCTCCATTCGTCACATTCCAAATTCCCCTCCCAAAAGGGGACCCAATTTTATTTTGCTTATCTCTGTCCCGGCCGCGTGGCCGATAAGAGAACCTACCCACAATTACCTGAGAATATACCCACATACCTTTTTGGAAACGCAGCAATGCTGTGCTCAGTGCTCAGGAGTAAAGGCAGCTTTTCGCTACACCGACCTTGCCGCTTCTGGGGGATTCGGACGCGCGCTTCACAACCATACTCGAACAACAAATCCTCTGGTGCACCCGTTGTGCGCCCGTGTCCAGCTGCACCAATCGCACGTCATAAAGACCAATATTAACACACACACACACCCTATTTGCGACGTCTTAAACACCTGGGCGCGGCTTTCCCCTAATGGTGAACATCTATACTATAAGTCTACCTTGTGGGTAATTTTGTGGCCGCCTTGGGACCTCTTGGGACCTTCTGGAGGCCTTCTTGCTGCTCTGGCAGG